TGGGGCGGGGTGGGCAGCAACACGATCTGAGCCGCCTGTCCCAGCGCGGGATCCGGGCCTGCCATCTGCGACCGTGGGAGACGGGGCAGACACCGCGGGATTGGGCGTGCCATCTGCCACCAGGGGAGTGGGCCTAAGCCAGCAGGTGGTTATCTCCCGAGGGGTCCCAGACTGTGAGAGGGCACAGGTTGGGCTGAGGGACCACCCCACCCCCCGCCAGTGCACAAATTTTTGTGCACCGGGCTTCTAGTAGTAAATAACAGAACCAGGATCTAAATCCCAGCAGCCAGACTCCCAAGATAATACTGATAACGATTCAATGTGTTATCCTTAGTGTAGACCAAGAGATAAACGACTGACTACAAGTAGGATTCTACCTTTGAGTTTCTGGCACTGCTTTTATTCAGGTGCCCTTATAGTCTAGTCTCAAAACATCAGTCAAAACAGACCTATTAAAACTCGTTATGTCACTCCCCTGATTAAAACTTGCCACATCTTCCCTTTCACGTAAAATACAAACCAAAGTCCTCTTAATGATTTATAAGGTCCTAATGATCTGACTGTTCCCCTTGCCTATATCCTCTGACCTGCTTTCATTATCATGCTCTAGCCCAGCCACCCTTGCTTCCTTGAGGTTCCTCAAACACACCAGGCATACTCCTACCTTAGGTTCTTTGCTCTAGCTGGTCCATTTGCTTGGAATGCACATACATCACATGGCTAATTACCTCCTCTTCTTCAAGTCTTTGCTGGAATTTTACTTTCTCATTAAGGCCTACCTTGAACACACTATTTGAAATTGCAATTCTTCTTCCTATGCCTTAGTACTCATTTTTTGTTATCCTGCTCTTTTACCTTATCCATAGTATTTACTGCTTTCTAACATAGTATATAATGGACTTACCTATTGCTCACCTGCTAGAATGTAAACAAGAGATAAGGATCTTTGATTCACCAATACATCATGTGTCCACAAGAATAGGCACATAGTAGGTACTCAATAAATATTTAGTGAGTAAATGAATGAGAATGAGAGATTCCCAGATCCCACTAGAAAAATAAATTTGTGCTGATGTAGGCATATGGCACCTAAAGACTGGGTTTGAATTAAATTGTAGTTATTGAGTAAAGTTAATTAACTTTAACTCAATTGACTTTCCCATGTCAAATCATTACTGACTTTATCTGCAACTCAATTCTTACCAGTCTAGCAGGCACTGAGTCTTTACATGACAAAACCAGTCTATGCTATTACAATTTGTAATACAATCTCTAAACATACAATAATATGAAAATTTTATAAACTATGACCAACAGAGATTTTAAAAAAAACATTAGAAGATAAAGATTAATATTTTCTAACATGTATTTATATCTTAATTTCCTGGATCATATCAATATTACTGTGGTCTATATCCTATATTTTTTGTTGAAGATGTTAGAACTATTTAGAGCTACTATCTTATTTTTAATCTCTCCCTACAAATTCAACTGTCTTATTCTGGAAAAACAGAGTAAGCTGGTCATATGAGAAAGGCTTATAAATTAATGGAGTGTGAAATCTATCTGACCTCACTTTAATCACATCACAGCCTACCTGCCTATTAGTCATAAAAATTCAACCTGAAACATGAATGAGTCATGAGAAGAAATTGACTTCCTGGCAGAGCCGATCTAGAATTAGCAGGGATCACAAAAGAAAGAAAAAAACAATTGAAAATTAGCTCTAACTAGAGGTGTCCAAATAAACAAGTGCTGCCTTTGTTCTCCTTTGTCCTTCCTTTGTTATTAAAAAAAAAAAGGAAAAACTAAACAACTTCCATGTGCCCTCTCATTAGTCCAAAGCTTGAACCTGTCCAAAAGCTGTAGCCGCTCTCTACAGACCCCCAGTAGGGGGCATGCAGGAGGCAGCGGATCAATGAGTCTCTCTCATCATTGATGTTTCTATCTCTCTCCCCCTCCCCCTTCCTCTCTGAAATCAATAAAAATATATTAAAAAAGAAAAGGATTCAGGAGGGCCATGATAGTTGTCTTCATGTATACAAAGGTCTAGGTAGAAGAGGGAATAACTTGTTCCAGATGGTCCCAGAAGGCAAAAATCAGTATCAACAAATATAACTTACATATAAGTAGAGTGATTTCTACACAAACTTAGAAAGAACTTTCTAATAATTTCATCTCACTGAAATTAAATAGGCTTGGGAGACTGAACTTGTACTAAAGGTATTCAAACAATTCTGTTAAAGAAGTCATACAAGGAATTCAATTTAGAAGAGGGCAGTGTAGCTCATCTTAAAAAACAAAATGAAACAAAAACTTTATTTTTAACTCTGTCCACATAGAAGAGAACAGTGAATGACATGAATCCTACAGTCTTTAAGTGTATACACTGAAATATTGACTCCTTTGACTTTCACTGAACCAGTACATCCATTTCCCGAAACAAAGAGTCATGACCCTCAGCGGTTGCCAACTGGTGGTCCGCAGACCACTGGTGGTCCGTGAGGTCCAAAAGGTTGGCAACCGCTGGTGACCCCAATACCTAGCTTAGTTAATTATCTGCTTTCTGTGACTGGTAGAGTTGAAATATATATATATTTAAACTTTATAATGATAAATTGTTACTGAGTAATTTCTCACTATAATGTCATTAAATAACTGTCCTACCATATAAGGTATCTGTAACATCAAAACCAGTTTAGGTAAGTTAGAATTACTACATTTCACTAGCAAAAGTATAGGTCAAATAATTTTTCTAAAGTTCAGGGGAACTTTAGGCGCTAATAGCATAATGTTACAGTTAGGTAATCAGAGGAAACCATGTTGCCTTTCTAAGATAATACTTGTTATTTCTTTAAACTGCAAGGAAAAGAAAATTTTTTCAAGGAGAGCAAGCTACAAAGAAGTTGCCTTGTGAAAATAACAACTATCTTAAATTTCAGAAGAGAATTAAAAGACAATAGATTACCTCCTACATTATTCTGACTAAGGCATATTCTAAATAAACATACTTGCCCTGAGCTTGTCTACCTGATTCATCTTTACTGTAATTTAAACTTCAGCTCTTACATCTTTTCTAAAATATCAATGAGCCTCAACAGGAAAAATACTTGAATTTGAGAACACTAAAAATAAACTAATTCTAATCAGAACTAATACTGGTATTTCTATCAAGTGAATGACATTATTTGGTTTCAATATACTTTATATAGCTTGGTTGTTGAGGTAATCACCTAATTTCTATTGACCTCTATATAACATATAAATATTATCTTATTTATCTTCAGTATTCATAGGTATCAAGGTTGATGTGTATAAAACATCATAAGTTACCTGTGCTAAATAACTTCCCATAACATAAATTAATATAGGTCAACAATCACTTATCTGAAATCTTTGGAAGCAGATGTGATTCAGAGTTCAGATTTTTTTTTTTACATGAAAGGTAATATAGATTATATAGAGATGATTATATAACACAGGGGAACCTGAGGTATCATCCTGTAGCCGAGCACATGGATATTTTCACAGCAAACCATCGAATGCTCACATGAAATGGTGGGATAAATAAGAACTATAAATAGCATCTTGTCAGTTGAGGTAAGTTGTGGATAACATTTAAAAAAAAACAAACACCTTTTGGGTTTTAGAATTGTATGTAAAAGATTATGAATCTGTGTTCTAACAGCATGAGGAAAATTAGTAAGTGTTGACCTTTTCATATACATGTTTGATAGCCTCAGTCTGATCCCCTCGCTTCTGTTCTCATCTGACTGTTATCCCTCCTCAAAATCCCCTTTGGCTCCCAATGTATAGTGACTGATCACATGGGAGGAATATCAAAAACCTACTGGATATCCACTACCTAAAGTATTCTGATAAGGATGTTAATTTCACCTTTGAGATGTGTTTATACGTAAGAGAATAACTCTTCTAAACCAAAAGAATATTACATCAGCATAGTTTATACCAAAATTGTTATATATGTCTACTCAAATATAATAGGATCTTTCAGAGCCCTATAAAACCATTGAGACTATCCTGAATCCTAATTCTTAAAATAATATTATATAAATTTTATGTAAGTGGAAAATAAGAGGTAGCCATATCTCTGCTCTGCACTGGTCGACCATTAGGCTATTTTTTGGAGACACTGTCACATAAAGAAAAGAACAGAGGCCTTTAAGTCAGAAGATATGGGTCTGAGTGATGGTGTTAAAACCTACTAACTGTGAGACCAAAGCAAGTTACTTGATTTTTGTAAGCTTTGGTTCCTTCATCCATAAAGTACAGATAATAAAACTACCTTGAAGAATCATACTGAACAATAGAAATAATAAACATGAAACACAAAGAAGAGTAACTGGTACACAGGATAAAAGTTATTTTTATTCTTTAAGAGAAATGGTGGGAGAGGGAGAGATCAGAGAGAGTTTTTGTGGCCTGAGAAGTGGAAATACTTATTCAGTTTGCTCTTAGGAAGCTTCCAGGACAGGGCTGGAAGAAAGGTAACAAAACTAAAATATTTATTTGAAATGTAAGTATTTTAATAATGTATTATTTATAATAATTATTAAAATTAAAACATTTTAAATTAAAATGTTCAGATACTTTCTCGCGCTAAGAGATATATACACTTTCATATGTATTCCCAAAACATTAACAAAAATATAGGGATTTTCTTTACTTTTTTTTATTACAGAACACTTTATAATTTTTAAAAATGAAATCTGCAACTCTTAATATATTTTTACAGTTTGTATAGCTAAATAAAATGAAGAAAGAAAAATTGGGGGAAAATATTCAATTATTCAATTTTCTACTGCAATTTAGAAAATATACTTACTCAATTTTCTGCTGCAGTTGTTCAGAAAGCTTTTTATTTTCTTCCTGTAGAGTATTCTTTTCATTCACTTAAATATAATGTGAAAAAAATGGCACATATTATAACTCTTTTAACATGTATGTCGGGCTTTTTCAATAATTTCAACAATTATAGAGACATTAGGATTTTTAATTCTAAGTCAAAATGTTAGGATTAATGTTACCATGCAAAGCTAATTTGTTACTAGGTAGTGATTACATCTCATATTCTGCCAGTTCCATGTAAATGATTAATAATTTTATGTAATGCTTGTGAGCAAAAAAAGAAAAGAGTACCTCATGTACTGGGGAGTAGGGTCTAATTATTCATATTGAGGACAAGAAAGCATTCCATCTGGTTACTCAGTTCTACTAATTTCAAATACCATTTTAGTGAGTCATTTATCTTGAAATAAATCTGATCATAAAAGTAATATAACACTGGATATCAGTGTAATTTTTATAACATAAACACACTCAATCATATTTTCTCCTTTAGTGATACTCTATGTTTTATGAGTAATTATAGCAATAATCTAAACATATCGATTGAAATCTGTTTGAATCCACCTCAACTAAAATTTCCTATCCACCCATATTTAATTTATAAAGCAAAAACTCAATTATGGGCTATAATTTCTACTGTAGCCAGTACAAATCTCTTACCAATCCTTACTATGATGTTCCTGGTTAAGGATGTGTTTTACTAGGAGCTAAATATATATAAATATATAATCAATAACAGTAAATCCAATTAACCTGTACCAAAGAAAATTAATCATATTCTAAAAATTTGTTAATAATTTAGTGCTTTACTAATTTAAACGTATTTTCTTTTCTTTTTTAAAATATATTTTTATTGATTTCAGAGAGAGAGGGAGAGGGAGAGAGAGATAGAAACATCAATGATGAGAGAGAATCATTGATTGGCTGCCTCCTGCATGCACCCTGCTGGGGGATCAAGCCCACAACCTAGGACAGTGGTCGGCAAATTCATTAGTCAACAGAGCCAGATATCAATAGTACAACGATTGAAATTTCTTTTGAGAGCCAAATTTTTTAAACTTAAACTATATAAGGTAAGTACATTGTTATTAACTTAATTAGGGTACTCCTAAGCTGGCCTTTGCTAAAAACGTCCTCAATCTGATTGAGGTACGTTCGCTGAGGTCGACCCCTTCCAACTCTCCCATCTACACTCGTCTTGTATACTTGTTTCGTATATCTCCTTTCATTCATCCTCTCTATATGTCCACCCTCTACTACTTCTAACACCACTTCTTCAAAATAGACTTGCCCAGGCCGAAAACCGACTTCTGCGCATGAGCCACGAAGTTTCAATTGCACTGTACGTGCGCGCCCGCACGTGGTATTTTGTGGAAGAGCCACACTCAAGGGGCCAAAGAGCCGCATGTGGCTCGTGAGCCATGGTTTGCCGACCACTGACCTAGGCATATGACCTCCTGATTCATAGGCTGATGCTCAATCACTGAGCCACTCTGACCAGGCCTAAAAATATTTTCTTAAATTGAGCAAACAAAATTTTTTGACTATCTACTATATGTGAGGTTGCTAGACTACCTCCTGTGAAGGATCTAGAAAAACTTTAAGATATGGACAATGGCCTACAGAAAGGTGTAGTCTAATGAGAGACAAGCTATAATTAAACACATTTTATATACCTGAAAGTCACAAGGGCATTAGAGAGGTACAGATAAAGTACTAAAGAAAATTTCAAGGAGAAAAAGGTTGTTTTGGGCCCTTGAAACCAGAAAAAAATTCACGACAGAGGACAAATGAACTGGACAGGTGACTATTCTATGCAGAGAATTAATGGAACAAAGTTAGAAAGACTAACTGGGTATAACAAATGGTAGAAAACCTTCAAAAGCAGGCTAAGAAGTCTAAAATTTATCTTAAAAAATTAAGTTATTTTTCACAGATGAATGATGGGAAGATTGATTTGTTCATATATCAAAGTGAGAAGAAAACATTGACAAGTTAGGCTATTGTTAAATGAGTTGATCAAAAAGAATAAAAATAAGAATTTAAAAAAATGGTAGGGGGAGAACGGGAGTGGGCTGGAAGAGGTTAATGGGGGAAAAAGAGGGACCTATGTAATAGCTTATAAGAAAACAACAAAAACAAAAAAACAATGGTAAAGCCCTGGCCAGTGTGGCTCAGTTGCTTGAGCATTATCCCATGCACCAAAAGGTCACTGGTTCGATTTCTAGTCAGGGCATATGCCTGGGGGTGGGCTCGATCCCCAGTAGCGGGCATGCAGGAGACAGCAGATGGATGTTTCTCTCTCTCTCTCCCTTCCTCTCTCTCTAAAATCAACTAAAAAACATGTTTAAAAACAAAACAAAACAGAAAACCCCAGTATAGAATAAAATTAAAGCGGTGACACTCAAGAGTGTGTTCAAAAGCAAGCGGCACAAAAGTGATATTTACCTTCAATGAATAGGAGGTACAAACCCCAAAATAATGAAATTAAAATGAAATAGAAGAAAATCAATTATACTCCAAATTCAATAATTGGCAATAGTAGTAACAAAAAAAGAAAGACAGGACAGGAAGAAAACAGTATCAATAAGATAGAAACACCAAAAATTCATAAACATGAAGCCCTTAGTGTGTTTATTTTTACAATAACTTTGGGCCCTGGCTGGTTTGGCTCAGTCGATAGAGCATTGGCCTACAGACCAAAGGGTCCCAGGTTCAATTCCGGTCAAGGGCACATGCCCAGGTTGCAGGTTTGATCCCCAGTAGGGGGCGTGCAGGAGGCAGCCAATCAATGATTCTCATCACTGATGTTTCTCTTTCTCCTTCTCCCTTCCTCTCTGAAATCAATAAAAATATATTTAAAAAATAAAAACAGGTAAAAGAAAAGGTTAAGAGAGGTATTAGAATAGAAAAAGGTTAGGAGGAAAAGGCTAAGAATGAAAGAAAACCCTATATTAAATGGGTAAAGGATCCTAATTGAAAATGATATACTTGTAATAGTATGTCATGAAAACAAAAAAAGGATACATCTTTGTAGAACATTATATTGTCTGTTTTGTATTTAAGTTTACTAAATAGTCAAATTACACAAAATAAAGGTAAAACCAAAGAAGCAAATTTGGACATATCTGTAGGAAATTTACTTCTTGTATTACAGCTGGTGAGACTTTAAGGCCAATGTGGACAGTATGTGCACAATCTTCTGGTATTTCTTACTAAAATAATCATGAGATTAAATCTATACAAAGTGAAGGAAGGACATTTGAACTTTTGCCTAAATAAGGAAAAATATATGTAAACAATCCATTTATTTGGTTGCAACCAATTTACTAATAGGTTTTTAACAATAGTACATTATGCTTTAAATACTTAACAAATGAAAAAGGAAACTCACTAAGCTCTGTGATAAGTTTAAGATTCTGCTGCCGGATATTTTCAAATTCTTGCTGTTTTTTTCGCATATGTTCTTCAGTTACTGCACAGCGATCACATAATCCTGCTCTTAATCTATGAAACAAAAACAAAACATTTTTAGAATAGAACTTAAATGTTCTCATAAAAAAATAAGTAAATAAGTGAGTGATGGATGTGTTATCCCCAAAGGGTAGGAATTCTTTCAAAATGTATGTCTATCAACTAAGATGTACACTTTATTTTACAATTTTATTTGCCAATTATACCTCAGTAAAGCTGAAATTAAAAAAAAAAATGTCAAGTACTAAAAGATTTTTTAAAATATTTGAACCCCAAGATTTTTATTCTTTATGAAGAACTAAAGAATTGACTTGCAAATATAGAGAAAATTAACTAATTTAATGGTATATTCATACCTTTAACAAATTCTCAAATAGGCTGAAATCATGCTACAACAAAACTTTCTACAGATTGCAATTCTGAGTGAAATTCTGTAAAAATCCGCTAATTTCAAACTCTATTCAAGGGAACTTAGTTATTGAAGAACCTAACCTTATTTTAATATTATAGCCAAAATATGCCAGTACAATACTCAAGGGGCAGCATTATATCTTAAGCAAGCTTGCATTTGCTTTGCTTAGCACATATTATAACACTAATGAGTGCTCAAAAACATTTTTCGTTGAATCAATACTAAAGATTAAGGAACTCAAAGTTTTTTTTAAAAAAGTTACCTCATACTTTGCTCCCTTCAGCATTAAAATAACAAACACCCAGTGTTAGTAAAAATTCACAATGCAACTATTATGTAAACAAAAAAAGATTACAAATAGCTTTTACTAATTATGTGTGAGTGCTAAAGAGCAGAGAAAAATGCATATAGTACATGGGGGGAGGGGAACGTGGAGAGAAAGGTGTACTCCAAAATGTTAGTAATAGTTATCTTGCAGGTATCAGTATTATAGGAGATTTTCTTCTTAGTGTTTTTCTATATGTTTCAAAATTTTACTCATTTCATTATTTATATAATCAGAAAATATACAGTTAAAAAAGATACATGCCCCACATTAGGAATTTAGGAAACATATTCTTGGATAATAATTTCATCTCAATAATCGAAATGAGTAAGATGCTAAGTATTTAAGTGTCTAAGGAAGCCACAGCCTGGTAGTATAGACCATTTTTTAAAAAAGGAAATACAGCCCTAACCGGTTTGGCTCAGCGGATAGAGCGTCAGCCTGCGGACTCAAGGGTCCCAGGTTTGATTCCGGTCAAGGGCATGTACCTTGGTTGCGGGCACATCCCCAGTAGGGGGCGTGCAAGAGGCAGCTGATCGATGTTTCTCTCTCATCGATATTTCTAACTCTCTATCCCTCTCCCCTCCTCTCTGTAAAAAATCAATAAAATATATTTTAAAAAAATTAAAAAAATTTAAAAAAATAGAAAAGGAAATACAATATGAAAACTGTACAACTAAAACAAACAAAAAGAACCTAGAGATTTTTCATATAAAAGTAAAACTCATAAACAGTGTTTTGATAAGGATATAAAAAATAAAGGTTAGAGATCAAAGGTTGCATTAATGGAATGACAATTTCTAGAAGCCAAAAATCACAGGATATTGAAAGGTCTTTGAAAAAACACTAAACGAGTTAAACTGCATTAACCACTTTTAATGAATTATTTAAATGTCATTCTACTAGCCAGTTTGCCATTAAAAACTAAACACCTTATTGTTTCTAAGAAATCATATCTGATATTAAAATGTTATAAAGTATAATGAAAAACAATCCCTTGGGACCCCTAGTTTCCAAGTTTAAAAATGCCACTGACAGTTATAAAGCAATATTCCCTGGCTTGTTTATTACTTCCAGATTTCTCCAATCAACTGCCACTCTTGATAATAATATTTGTGAGTCAACTCCTAATTGCTCACTGGTCCTATTTGAGTTTAAATGGATGTGAGAAAATATGCTCCCATTTCCATCAGCAGAGCTCCATTGCTTTCCTTTTGCCTATCCTCCACTGTAGTTGTCAGAGAAAGAAAAAAAAAATAGCCTCAATTTCACAGGAGAATGCAGTTGGTAGGAAAAAGGGAAAGAAGAGTAATTCCACTTGTAAGAACAGACAGCAACATGTGTTCTGAGTTTTATCCCAGCTTGTTCACAGAAATGAAGAAATAATAATTTATTTTGCAATTAAAACTCACCAGATTGAGAAGTATGCACAATTGCTTTCTATACCTCCCAAAATTTCCTTGAATTTATTTTCATTCAAAAGGGTTTCACTGAACACCTACAATGAGTACTGTAGGTACTATAAATACAAGGGTGGCCAACATAATGTTACTTATTTTAGAGTTTACAACAGTCTGCTAGTGAAAAAACAGACAATAAAAAAGTAAGTAATTACAACAAAGTATGATTCATACCATGACAGAAGAAATACAGGGTACTATCCTATCTAATAATAGACAAACATGGTAATTAACCATACCTCTGCTATGCTTCCCATTGGCTAATCAGCATGATATGCAAATTAACTGCCAACAAAGATGGCGGCCGGCAGCCACGCAGCTGAAGCGAACA